GCATGAGCTCAGGAGTCATCAGAACCTTTCCATCTAATATAAGCATGACTGGTACAACTGGTATTTAAAAAAACACCCTCAATTAGGAGTAAATAGTTAAATGTATGCACAATTGGCTCAGACTCTGAAGGAGTTGAACCTTTTTTCACCATCAAACCATCTACAGACACCCTGCGTTTAAGTTAACTCACCAACCCAAGAATGTGCTTGTCCCAAATCATAGTAATAAAACTAGGATGCCAGCGATGCCAATATAATCTTTCTATTTGATTTTTCAACTGAATATCTGAATGTGAATATCACTTATCATCTGCCATTACTATAGAAGAGCTGACAATTCTCTCTCAAAGTTTTAGCTTACTGTCACTTGTAGTACAAAATAAATATTACATATTGTAATAAACTCGCTAAATGTGCTAACCTGGGCCCGTATTCACAAAACATTTTATCTTACCACTAAGAGTTCTCCTAAATAGCAGTAAAAGTTTTTAGCTAAGAGTTTTCTCTTAAAACCTATTCACAAAGCTGCTAAGAAAAACTTTTACTAAGGAATAGAGAGCAGTCTTAAGCTAAGAGTAAGGGCAGGGTTGACCTTGTTGCTATGGAGGACGTCAGCATATTTACTAACTATGCACACAGTGATTGGCTGATAGTCTCTGTCAGAGATGTATTCATAGATATAGTGTAGAGCGCAATATTATGTTGCCATATTCAAATAAGGGTTTTAAAATAAAAATGTTACTTGCCACATTCGAATAAAGATTTTAAAATGCAGGCTAAGTGTCACTAATTAAACAAGTAGGCTATATTCAGCTAATTTTCAGCCTCTTATATGTATGCTTCTCGTAAACAATTAGTCAATATGCATTAGGGCTGCCCTCGACTAAAGATTTTTCTGGTCAACTAGTAGTCGTTCATTTTAAGCATTAGTCGACTAGTAGTCGCACTTTTATTATTAAACCATATAAATCATAATAATGAGCCTTTAATTGCATACATAGCCTAATAAGCGCTCAAGCGCACGCAAAAAAAGGCTTGCCACAGCGCACCGGCAAATATAATTATGAATGTGTTAGGGAAAAACAGCAAGTACACTGCATTAACGTTTTAATAATTTATTGTTACACTAGTGCTTTCTGTTTTCGGTTTAAGAGTTGAAGTCTGCGACACTGACTCCGCAGTATTGTATTGTATTGTATTGTAGCCCTTTATTGTCACTGGTCCCAGGTACCAGCGAGAGTATGCGCCTGTATGCATGTTTCATACGGATTACATAATCTGACAATATTTGTTTGCTATTTGAATTGGTTCATTTAAAAGTTTCACTCTCTATAGATATATTTTTCATGTCTGTAATAGGCTAAGGCAAGAATACACAGAGTTTCGAAGTGACGCGCTCAAGTTCTCAGAATCCGAGACAGCAGAAATCGCATCCTATTTTTGCTTTAATTATTTTACAAAAGTGCAACATTTAGTTGTTATTCTGAGTACACACGAAAAAACGAAAGTCTTTACAGATACAAAAGATGCATTACTCTTATCTGTATGACCAAAAATGACAAAGTATTTTAAGAGCAAATGATCGCACCGGTGCCTCCATCTGTCATGCAGTAGCCCAAGCACACTGTTCAGCTTCCACACTCTGCACAAACTTTTTTCTAGGCTAACATTAGATTGAGGTGCCATGTTAAGTTGCTACTACATATTTCAGATGATAAGCCATATTGAGGTCGATGAATGTTAGGTGAGCATATGGATGTCCTGCCCGATGTACTATATTACCACACAGACCAGCAGTTAACGATCTGTCCATCACGGACTGCATGATTTCGCCACTTCGTGTGGAATTTTTTTTTTCTGCGACTAATAAAATTTGTCAACCAAGCCTCTTCTCATCGACTAACGGTTAGTCGACTATTAGGGGGCAGCCCTAATATGCATATAAACAGCCTTTTAATTAATAAAGTAGAATAAACATGGCTGATAGTAAGACATGCAAACATAAAAGAAAATCAAACTGGACACTTGACCAGCTATTTAAGGATATAATAAAAAATTTGGAGTTGGGATAACCTCCAAACCAAAGCCGATACCTTTTTAAAAGCTCATTATCGTCAAATGTTTCTAAAATGTTTATATTCTGAGGCAGATTGCTGGCGAATACGGGCCCTGGTTTTTAGGTGATTTTTTTTGTAAGGGTAAACTTCAAAATAAATTGTCTATATCCACAGTGAGGAAAACACAGCTTAAAGCTGCAGTCTGTACGTTTTGCCTCTTTATCGCCATCTCTGTTCCAACCTGGAATTGCAGTTACTTGCGAGAATTATCTAGCTTGCGTGGGTTGTGCACCGGCACGGCTCCAGCGTGGCTGAATCTAATGTTTTGAGGAGTATGTGTGGCAGTCAGTCACCACACCGATGTGAATCCTATACTTAGTAATCACAGATTCTAGCCTACGTCTTGGAATATAACCCAAATAAGAATTTTCACCGCATATTGTCATCTGAACAAGTAAGTAACAAGTCTGCCACATTGTTCTGACCAACTGAGGAAAAAAACATTACAATAAATCATGCTACCAATGGTGATTTAATCTAGCGATCAATTAGCTCATATCACATCAAACCAATAATAGCAAATTATTATTATTGTTATACTTTATTCTCAGATTATTAATGTTAACAACATCAGCATTGCGTGGCTATGAGTATAGTGTGTGTGTAGTACAGTCTAATCTCTAACTGTCATACCATTCGAATTTCATATTAAGAAATTAATTTAACCCAAAAAGCAAACTATACTCCCTTCCAACTGGTTGCCTTTAAAATACAAATCTTGTGTAATCCCAGGCTATCTGTAATCAGAAGAACATTTAAAACTGGAATATAATTTAATTTCATTCACATGTGTTTCATATAATCCTTTCTGGATTACAATCCGCCAACAAAATGATTTTTTGACATTTAATTATTCTAGCTGCTGTGAGAAAAGTCTATAAACGATCGGCCACCTGCAGCATCCTCACATGCTATAGCCTAGTAGCCGGGACAACTTCTTTATGTTTACAGACATGACGCGGCAGCATGCTCGAATTTCCCGCGAAAACCTACCCGTACCACTCAAATTAGAAAACATTATTATAAGATAACCGTTGTGAATCGGGCTAAAGTAAGGTGATAGTTTTGAACACTGGCTGGTTATGTACTTGCTCAAATATTGATTTTGGATAATTTTTAACCAAAAAAAGTTACGGACTGCAGCTTTAAGTAGATGAGGAAAAAAAGAGGAAATATTAGGTCCATCCAGTCATGAGACAGAGTAGAGAGGAAGGAAAGTTCCACCTATTTATTAAAGGGGTCATATGATGCGATTTCAAGTTTTGCTTTCTCTTTGGAGTGTTACAAGCTGATTGTGCATAGATAAGATCCCTGAAGTTGCAAAGACTAAAGTCTCAAAACCAAAGAGATATTCTTTATCAAAGTTAAGACTCTTTTGAGAGAGGCGGGGGATAGAGGACCTACAATAATGTACAGTATTTGAAAAATAATGTGTTTTTTGAACATTAAAGCATGTCAACATATTCTGTTACACCAAATACACAAAATAATGATCTTTAAAAAAGCATCATATGACCCCTTTAAGGAGCTGCGGGATTATCCCGGGAGATTCAAAGTTCATTTCAGGATGTCAGTACACGCTGATGCATTGCTAGCAATACTGGAGCCACATATAAAAAAAGGACCACCAATTTCCGTGAACTCAGCATGCAAGGACCTATACAGTGCTTTATGCTGCGAGACGAAGTGGAGGGAACTTGTCAGGATTGTTTTTTTTTTAGTTTCTCCTAAATCAGCAAGTTAGGAGCTACTTTTAGCCTTAAGAAGTTTCTGAATATGGGTCTGATCATTAGACTGGAAGAGCCTCCAACACCTAAAAAACCCTTTGAGACAACCACAATATAATACCACAATATCTTTCATGTGCAGGTGTAAACAACGACACACCAAAATGAGAAGGTTAGGAGAAACCGTCGTTTAAAAGAGTTTAAATAATCTTAATCAGTCATAACTACTGGGGAGAAATAGCACAGACACTGGACAGAGACAAAACTGTGTATTGAGTATGCATTGACCGACTGTGTTTGCCAACATAAAATATAATTTGAAAGGCTGCACATATACATGTACACATAAAAACTGAAGGGCAGTGTGATTTTAAGTGGGCAAAAAGGACAACCGTATTTTTGTTAACATGAGGACAGCACTTGATGTTTGGAGGAAACAAATAATGTGTAAACAACACTGGTCCTCCGAAACTGACAGTGTTTAGACAATAAGGAATATTAACTGTAATTATAGAATATCTATCATTATACAAATAATAGTGACTCAATTAATTCAGCAGGTATCTGAAGACACCAGTGGACCATGAAAAAAAGTAACACCAGAGATGTGTCAATGTATCATCCAACAGTATTTCTTGACTAACAATTGATCATTTGAGCAATATTAATGCATATATAACTGCCAATATTAAATACAAAAGATCCTAACCAAAATTAATAACTTACAAATTAAGCATATTTATTGTGTTGTAGCTTCAGCTTTTTCCACTTATAATATAATTGATGAACTCAAATGATTTCTGATTAAGCATATAAAAGGCATTTCCCCAGGGTGACCATTCAAGTTAACGTCTGTTGATGCGACACAAACTCTCTTCTCACACCAAGACACAATTTTTCCTGAAAAAAAAGAAAGCCTGTCACCACCCTGAGCAAATGAAACCAGAGAATGCTCTGCCTGCCTATTTGTATTGCAAACTAGAGTCTACTTTTCAGCCAGGCAGGAAAAGGACACAGGGAGGAGGGCACCTCCAGAAAAAAAAACAGGAGAGAGAGTGGAAAAACCTGCTCTGCACAAAAACCAAATACCTACAGTTCAGCTGTTTAACAGCTCATCAGCAACAAACCACACTAAACACTGATGAATAAGGCTTACTTCAAAAATAAAGAGGATGGAGTCCAGCTCCTCCCGTTGAGATTTGTTCCCTGAAAGAAAGCAATAGAATTAGTTATTGTGTAATTTTACAGTACAATCATTCATTCGTTAGTGTTTATTCACTCAGGCTTGTGCTTTTGCTGTGGTTAGCTATACAGTTATGATCTATGGTGCTAGAATGCTGAAATGTTGACAATATTTAATATTCAGTCTTCAATGAATCAGGGGTGGGCATGAGTACCAGAGTACTTAAAAGTGATTGTGATGATCGTTTGACTTATCGTTTGGTTAGCATTGGAACGGCATGCCGTACAGGCTGGATAATTCTAGTGAAACTATGGCTTTGAAAGTGTGCAGTGATGTCTGGAATACATCAAAAAGTCAGCACAATTTAATTGTTGCTCATTGTTAGTTCATGTTAGCTTATGCATTAACTAATGTTAACAAATGGAGCTTATTGTAAAGTATTACCGTAAATTATTTGTGCTTTAGCTGCCTGCGTTTCATTAACTGCCTGTGTTTTAGTGCATTGTTGCAGGAGTTAGACACTATAGCAATGTCAAGTTCATTTGCATTCCTTTTAAATGGAATGCAATTACTAATAATTGTGCTGCCTACTTTCTCTTCATGGATTCTGAAATGCATAGGGATGTCTTGGTAAAACTGATTAAAATATAGTTAACTCTTTACCTGCCACCATTTTTTGATGTTGCCAGCCAACACCATCATTTTCAAAAAAGTTTCATTGCCCCAGAATATTTTGTTGTATGAATATCTGAACATGCAATATCAGGGTTTCTGCTCAGGATTCAGGATTTTTAAGCTCAAATTTAAGACCTTTTAAAGACCTGCAAAAATAAAATTAATACCATATGAGCGGGGTAGGGCAATGTCTATAGTACCATATTAAACTGTAAAATTACTGCAAAAAGCATAATTTACAGTTCAGATACAAGTTTTCACAAAAACAAAATGTTTTATAAAATGATAAACTTTACATTTCAGCCTTTAAACCATTTTTAAGAAAATGGATGAGTCAAAAGTATTAATTATTATATTAATTTAAACAATTATTATCAATAAATTATTATATCAATTAAATAACATAAATTAGGGGTGTGTGATATTGACAAAAAAATGATATCTCGATCATTAAGCCATTTTTTCTAAAAGTGTGCACCATCTTTTGAGTCAAATTCTTGCATTTGGGCTGTTACCAAGCAAATGAAATCAGTATCAACAAAATGTATCTTTGCAATGCAGAGGAAACACAGAAGCTGCATTAGAAGTGGCATTTAGATGTATTTACACACTGTTTAATGAAGCTCTGATGGACATGGAATACTCTAACCTGCAATTACAAATGCATACTTTTTTTTGATATTTTAAACATAAAACATTGAAAACTGATGTTTGAAATCATTTTAAAAATGAAAAAGTACCTTAAATGTGAAATTAAAACTGCCAGTAGGTGGCAGCAAATGACTGTTAAGTAAGTCATTGTGATTGAACCGAATCATTTAAACGAAACACCATCATGTTGCTCAGAGACACAAAACAGCGCTGTGGCTGTGTTTGGGATGATTTTTGTTGGAGAAATAGAGCAAAAACAAGACATATGGTGTCTAAAGTGTAAGTCTCTTAATATTAACTTCTTGTTTATTGAACTGTTGTATAAAATAAATATCACATTTGTAATCATGCCTGACTTTTGGAGAAAAAAATGGCACTCTTCTGGTGATATTAACTATATGAAATGATATGAATATATACATTTTCTGCCCCATATCTTGAATTATGTGATAATTCTAAATGCATTTTAATAGACTGATTCATGCAGTGAAAGAACGCACTATAATTGTGCACGTGCACTCACTAGTCTAACCTGCTAGACTTCATCACGTAATGTATGCGCACATACTGTAGGCGTTTTGTTTGCTTTTCACGATATACTCGATAATATCAAATCGCACATCCTTAAAACAACAATTACGATATTATCGACCAATTGATCGGCCGATTTTTGCCATTTTTTAAATAATCGGCATCGGCCGATTGTGCTGCAAATTAGGCCGATTTATAGGCAGGCAGCTAAGCGCTGTTGCGGAACTCCCTCTGGCTGCGTGAGACGGAGCAGCTCACGCTCTGTAGGCTGCAGCAGCCGCGGCTTGTTCACACACAGCCTCAGCTAATGGCAGGGCAAAACAGACTGTTTTGAAAGCGGGATTACGCTTTACCCTGCTAGAATTGAGGCCGGAAAGTTATCATATCCATAAGTGCAACAAGTCATTTGCATGTGAAAGTAGAAACACGTTCAATTCAGACGAAACTTCTGGGCTGATTATAACGTGCACGTTAACTTTCCTCATGAAACGTGTCTGTGGGTCCGACAATAGCCTCCACGATGTCATATATTCGCTTGTGGCCAGCGCACTCTAAAGCAGTTATGAGCAGCAGGCTGTGTAATATGTGTGAAATCTTTTATTTTTGTTATCACTATGGCCATTTGGCTTATAGCGGTGTCCAGTGTTTCCTATACATTGAGTTATTTGTGGTGGTTCATCACAATATCAAAACTGACCGCCACAAATAGAGTTTCCAAAAGGCTTATACTTTGTTGAATAAAATGAGCGCTTCACGTTTCAAAATTAAAATGCAGCGCGGGTGTTTTTACATGAACGTATCTTTGAAAAGAACCGACTGTCTTCAGAAAAGCTTCGATGTCATTTTCATTT